TTGGACATTCCAACAGGACTCAGCACAATCGCACTCAGCACGCGCCACCCAATAATGGTTACAAAATGAGGTTCCTTGCTTCATTTCCAGCGAAATCTCCGGATACCAATCCGTTGGACTATTGATTCTGGAGTATTTTGGAAAGCAAGGTTGGCACTAAAAAATACCAAATTGTCGATCACCTCAAGCAAGCGCTTCGCCGGAAATGTGCCAAAACACCGCTGAGCAACATTCGGGCAGAGTGTGTGTGGCTTTAATAAGGTCATAATCATGCCAAATGTGATCAATTCGAAAAAATCTAAACTTATTCTAAAATTTGATGCTATTTCCGACATTTTTTGCTTTCATTCAATAAAATTAAAAAAAAAATGTAAAAATTATGGCTTTTGACTTCGATGCAGTTTTTTTATCTCACCCTTTAAGTGGATTTATGTCTATTGAGATTTAAGAGGAGGATCATAAGAGTGTGAAATGCTACCTATGTTCGAACCATCATTCCTGCCTTTATAAAATTTTAATTTCACATTTTCATAAAACCAGAATTGGGTCAGCGGACTATTTGCAACTAAAAACGCCTTGATTCAATGACAATTTGCAAACTTGCTTAAGCTAAAATAAACTTTCTATACTTATGCGTTAAATGTCTATAATATTCATGCCCATACTCACCCTTCACTATCCAAAACTTGTTTCAGTGTTGCCGTCGTTATAATATGATCATCACATTTCACCCAGGTATCCTTGTGGTGTCGCACATAGGCCGTATAATGACCGGCATCAATTGTGCCCACATGATTTACCACAGCATATAGGGAATAACGAAAATCACCATAGGCATTGTTTTTCTCCGACATAAAGGGCGTCATATCAAACTCCACAGGAAACGATATAAACGTCGAAATTTTCTTATCTATTAACGATGAATGTTCGAAACGTTTCAAATGGAAACTAGCCACACTAGGTAATGTACGCAGGCTAAATTGTTTTGTCGATTCCTGATACGATTTACACGTGGAACATTTAATTTTTGCCGACGAACCCAAATGTTCGGCACGTGTATAACGTTCCAAACAATCAATCAGGGATTTGGGTGTGGCACCACCATGTGCTTCCCCCAAATCCAGTGATATATCCCAGAATGGATCTATGGTAGTTGATACACCTTTACACGACTGACATACAACGTCACTTTGTAGCATACCGGTAAAAATTTGATCTATAATACAATTACATTGAGTCGGGCAATTCGAGTGGGTTGTTGTCTGTGAAGAACTCGATTTATTGGCACTTTCTGTTTCAGCTTTGGCTTTAATACAATGACGATGTAAAACATCCAAAGTGGCAATGAAAAATTCATGGGCATCTTGTTGTTCATAGCCGGCCAAATGTTTGGCATGATTCCATATTAAATGCAATAAACGATGTAGGGAGAGGGGAGTGCGGGAACCGGAATAGAATTCCTATAAAGGATAGTTAAGTGTTATTATACTAGTCACTGGAAAGTAGAGTTTAAGAATTACCTGGAATAAACGAGAAACTTCACAAACTAAACATTTCATTGATGATTTTGCACTACATTCATGGCGATCCGAAAGAAAGTAATCACATAATAGTGGGGTGTGTATTAAAGCCTGAAAATACATTAAAAATTAAAATAAACAGAAACATTTCGTATCGCGAATATAAAAAATACAAAGGGATCTCTGATGGAAGCATAAACTATCCAACCCAATTTAAATACCTGATAATCAAAAGTTATCACAGTAATCTTCTTATCATTCCATCTGTAAAGCAAGCACATATCTTACTTTTTAATAAAAATGTTCATTACCTGTACAATACAATTCATAAAACAGGTGGAACCTAAATTAATGAGACCTCTTAAACCCAGGGTTTCATTTGCCCTGACATTGCGACGCCTTGGATTGGCCAGCATTAAATTTGTCTCCTTCGGCGAGGGAATCCAAGGGGTCCAGGCTAGACTCTTTTGTAAATCTTTAGCCTCTAATTTACGATTGACGGCAGCAAGTTCTCTTGAGCGTCCATCGTAAATGTAATCTCGACATGAATTACAATACAGTGTGCCATGAGACAGTTCCAGAGCTATGGAATGTTTTTTGGCACGCAAGTGGGTGGTGATGTGGGAACCACGACAGCCAAAATAGATGCAATGCAAGCAGGCGAATAACTGAATACCATAGCTACCGCATTCGAAACAGCAACAAGTTAAAGCCTACAAATACAAAAAAAAGCTCAGAATGCATAAAATTTAAATTCTTGCAAAGTACAACAGCCAGACATACCTTCTTCTCACGTGCATCCCTGTTAATGCAGGCCGAAAAGTACGCATCTATAATACGATACGTGTCCAAAGAATTTTCCTTAACATAAGCCTGAAAATGTTTACAGCCATTTTCGGACATATTCGAACGATTGCTTGTTGCAGCTGCTGCTGTCGTAGATGTGGATGCCAACAAAATATCACCCGAAAAGGAGCCAGCTTTAAGAAGTTCGCTGAAATTTCCACCGCCACTAGCGTCAGCACCCTTAAGCCTTTGTGTCAGCAACAAAAGCAAAGGTGTGGTCTCTTCACTCTCATTCAAGTCACCCCTTGTGTTACGTTTCTGGCCACAACTACCACTACGTGCCCTGGTCAAAGGTCCACCAAATGGTTCCTCTTCTTCCTGCTCGATCGGTAAAATTTCCAATTTGGTTACCTTTGCTGGGCAACAATTCTCTGCACCTCCTCCGCCACCACCACCGCCAACTGTTTTCCGAAAGGACTTGCCGCCGCTGTTGCTGCTGCTACCACTATCACATTTGTCATAAATGCCGGTAGTAGATAACTTGCCGTCTCCTTTATCGTTGTAACCACCACCACTACCACTTACAGTCTTATTACGGGCCAATTTTTCACTTTTTCTCGCCTTACGCTGAATTTTGCAGCTGTTTACGACGGATATTTCTTTTCTCTTTCCGCTGTTCTTTTTTTTTCTGCTGTGATTTGTGTGTTGCTCTTGATGTTGCTGTTATTGTTGTTGCTGCTATTACTACAACTGCTGCTGCTGACTGCTACTGAGAAAACTTGTCGTCGTTGTCGCCGGCAGGAATATCCTTGTGCTTTTCCGCAACAATGCTTCCGCTGAAACCTTGAGAATATTTTAATCGTTGTTTAATTTATTTATTTTGCATTCAATTGATTTTTTCTGTTTAAAACTAGCAAAGAAACCTTATTTTGCGAATTGCTCGGCTTTGCTTAATTCGTTTGCAGAGTAGAACTTTGTTACACATACACGCACACACAAACACATATACGCAAAAACACTTTGTTTTCTTTGGCGAAGGTACTATTTCGATTTTGGTAAAATGTTAACGATATTGGGTATCGTTAATCGAGAAAAATAAAGTGCGAGGGCAACATGACAATTTGCAGCGTTAAAATTCCCTTCTTTTGATGGGTTACAAATAATTACTTCGATGAATAACAAACTGAATAAAAAACGTTTGGTCTGAAATGATAACCAGAACTGCCAGAATGTAAAAGTTTTTGCTCTCCCTCCCTTTATGATATCGAAAAAAAGATAATTTTACCATGGAAAATATGAAAACAAAATAATTCGTTTACAAACTTTTTCATTTAAGACTTCTTTCCTTCATAAAAGTTATCATTTCACGTTTTCATAGAAAAAGAAATTAAACCTATCCCTACATTATCTATTTTTTATCTTGTCAGAGTAAACTGCACAGAAAAAATGTGCCAATCTCCGTTTTGTGAGACTGATTTACGAATATGTATTTAGACAATGAGATGTTGTCAAATGTATAATTAAAAAATAAACAATTAAAAAAGCAGTAAGTTCTGCCGGACCGAAGCTTGTATACCCTCCGCGGTTTGAAAAGAATTTGGAAATTTTCGAAAAAAAGCAGTAAGTTCGAACTTTGACCGTTTGGAAAGAGTTTAAGAGAGAGAAATAAAAAATATTAAAAAAAAGAGATACGTTAAAAAATACCAGTAAAATCATAAAAATAACGAACATAGGGTGTTAACATTAAATCTACACGAAGACGTGGACCTGCATAGACAAATTTTGTCATAGGCTTGTCAATATTCAAATACGAAACTTGAAACAATTCCCGTGAATAACACGCAAAAACATCGAAATACCGAAAATAGGGAAGTACAGTTATATGGGACTCTAACTAAGGGTGTGGGTATATAAGAAGCTTGAAAACATGGCTAGGCATATTTTGTGAAATTTTATATATATCCTACATATCCCATTTACAACAACAAAAGTCCTAAATTTTATCAATCTACTTCAAACTCGTTCGGAAGCTAGATTGATTTCCACGACGAATGGTCATCGTTAAATCGACATAGAATTTTGTGCTGATCAAGAATATATAATTTCTATTTCGTGGTGTTACAAACGGAATGACAAACTTAATATATCCTCCATACTATGGTGGAGGGTATAACTATGTAAGAATATGATTTAACGGGGTTACCTTCTCAATTCCACCACCTTTGCACTGAACATGTCATATAAAATGCTTAGATATACAAACTATTTGATGCTATGTCAAATAAATGATGAATCTTCCTAAAATGCGTAATTAAGGAGTCGGTGTAATGTAAGCTTTATCCGGTCACCTGTTGGTAAACATTGTGCCTGCTTTACACCAACACTAGTCACAATTATTACAAGTTGGCAGCAAAACCCAGATGATTCGACTCTACAGTGGTATTAGAACAAGTATATTTCATAACTAAATTTAAGAGAAGACAGCCAAAAAAAGTATTTATTTGCTTTAGAAAACTTTTTGCTCGAAAAATTTGGCCGAGGAAAAAATAGTTTCACCAAAAAGTAGTTGCTAAACACACCATATGCATTCATCGCCAAACGCCATAGGCTTTCATTGAATTTAGAAGTGCTGACGAAAAAATACCCAACCCTCTGGCAACACTTTTTGTCACAAAAGAAGGGAAATTTTTCTATTTTGTCCCAAAACCTTTGAATAAACAACAAATTTGAAATTGAAAGGGCGCAAATTGTTTGGTGGCCCAAAACAACCGTCGTCGACGAGATTTCTAACATCCTGCCAGTCAGCAATCAAACATCTGCTCCCTTGAAGCTAAAAATAAATCACATCCCAACGAAGGAAGAAGGTGCAGACACTTAAAGACAAGGATGGAAGGCAATGATCATGAGACACCACAAAAACTTAAAGGTCATCGATTTATGATGCACTATCCACCGACGGCGTCCGATGAGTGCAACAAAGTGACGCCCAAAAATAAACAATTCAGGAAGTCAATAAATCCTAGGACACCACAAGGATTAAGCTATTCGCTGGGCAATTGCAACACCATGATGTCGTCGAATAGCAGTAATGGTTTGCATTCCATATCAATGGCTGTGATACAGACGCCGCCGGCAAAGAGACACCAAAAAATAAAAAATCCCTTTGAAGCGGCGTGGGCCGAACGGCTGCATATGCCATTGATAGCAAGGTAAGTAGAATTGTTTTGTTTTTTCACAAATTTAAAGAGAATTGATTTATGCGGCGTTTGGTTTCTGCTTTTTTTGTAGTCCATCGTTATTTCAACGCCCAGACACCCCGCAAATGAGTTCTACACAGTGTGAATGGACAATAGAAGAAGTGTCAAGTTTAATGCCAGCAAATGTAGAGCCTCATGAGACTCAGTTCAACGATTCACCTGATCCTGAGTTGGAGGCCAAAGCCCAAATGGCAATTAGTTCCTATTTTAAAGATAATCAAATTGTGCCAAGTCCGGTAGATTGTCCATTGCGTAGCCAACGTATTGTTTTGCATGACGTTAGTGGTAATACACCTATATCCAAACCAGGCCGTAGAATACGTGATTGTGCATCACAAACTGAATTGACATTGCCGCCCATATTGCCAGCAGCTCTGGAAGAGGCCTTAAAGCCATACTTCCAACCCCATTTGGCAGGAGCCAATATAGAACTGAAAAAGTCCCGTTATGCCCAACGTTCATTAAGTTCCAGCATAGACGCCAAGGACACCTCATTGAGGCGTAAGCTATTCGATATTCACAATGTTCTAATATGGGAAAATGAACAACAATTGATGGCAAAAAATAACACATCTTCGGCGGCAGCAAGCAGTGGTGGCCAATCAAATTCTAGTCCCCACTCTTTGCAATCCCTGCAACATACTGCTATAGTGGGCAAATTATCCGATTCTCTCGACAAGAGCTCCTTTGGCTCACTCTCACCCATATCGGCCTCAGATGATCTATCACCTTCGCTGCCAGATAAGGGTAGTGCCACAAAACGTAAATCACGTTTCAATAACTTCCGTTCAGAAATTGAGGAGCTAGAACAGTTATCACCCATACATCCACCGGTCAGAAGGAAACCCATTGAGAAATTGTATCGTTCACAGAATATGGGAAATCAAAGCAATGACATGACAAACAATACCAGTCAAGATACAGACAATGGAAAGTTTACTCCAGAAAGATCATCTTCGCCCTTGGCCTCAATGATAACGAATAACATTGGAGAGTTTTCGTCGGATAGTTTTAATATAAAAGTTAGTCGTTTAAGAGTCAATTCATCGAAGTGTTCAAACAAATCGAATAAAGAAAGACTGACTAGAGTGACGGGCTCTAAAAATTCGAGTAACATCCTGCAGGAGGTGGATGTTTTTATGAGTCATGAGGATACGTGCGAGGAGTTACTTGAATATACTGGCATTGATGTGGAAGATATGCAAATATCTCAGGTTTCGGCCCATAGTTCTACATGTAGTTCTTCACAATCGGATACACCGAGAGGTAAAAGACGTTCGGCAAGTCGTAAAAATTTGTCACAATCTTTTTCGGCGAATTGGTTAAACGACGAAGGAGACGAAAATGAGGACCCTAAAAGAGATGAGCAGAAATTAAATCGTATTTGCCAAGATTTAAAAAAGAAGAACCTAAATCCTGCAGCATTGCAACCAACAAGTTCCTCATCCTTTGGTGGTGTGGTACATCACACACCTATAAATAGTTCACCCAAAAAATCATTGACATTTTATCGCACCGACAGTGGTTTTAATGAAATGTCACAAAATTCCTCAGAATCACAAGATGGTCCAGGCTTGTCACAACAGCAGACTTCAATGGCGCTAGCTGCGACGGACGGAGAACCAATGATGGTGCATTGCTGTTCAACACCTTCTACGAAACAGGATAAGTTTGAACTTATGATTTGATAAAACAGTGGTATTCAAATTTTTTCTTGCCTGCTTTGCTATAATAATTAAGTTTAGTTAATTTTTCCATTTTATATAAACATTTTTAAATTAACGCTCTATATGTAGGTTTAAAATAATGATTATATTTGCAATTTTCAGATGTTATTCGATGAATTTAAATTAAAAATTGCACAGTCTTTAAAACGTTATAGGTGTCGATTGATCATCCTTCTATCCGAATTGGCGATGGAGACCGATTTTTTGTTGCAGCAACAAGAAAACATTTATTAAGCTTAAACTAGTGTTGGTAGATGGTAAAGCATATCAATGCAGTTGGAAAATTTAAATTATAAATGTCGTTATTCAATCAAATTCATCTGAAACTTAGGTATGTGAAAGGAGAACATTATTTGCAATATTTAAACAAAGGCCTTATGCTTAAATTGTAGTTAATTTTAGGAGAAGATTAAACAAATTACCCACCCACCTACTTTTATGGAGATTTATTAAATAGTTACTATTGAAGACTCGAAATATGTTTACAAGTTTCACAAATAATTGTATAAAAGATTTTGTTTTTAACCAACAAGATATCAAGCTATTCATATATTTGTATGTATTTTATAAATCTTATATTTATTCAAGTATCCTTCACAAATACATTTGAACATTTAGACAAATCTAACAAAATAAGGTCAGTCAATTGTCTTGAGATATAAATTCGCCGATTCTACTGTCATTTTTTTGTAGCATGCAAAAAAACAGCAATCTTTCAAATCCTAGGAAACTTATCAAAAAAATGTCTTAGTCCCAGCTTACATTGAATTGATTTGAAAAAATTTAAAGTTTATATGTAATAAAAGTAGACAAATGGTTTCTATTTCCATGATCTGGCCGAATTTGAACAATTCAGAACATAAATTCAAACATAAATAAAAAAATTCACTTATATTTTGTTGAAGGATATATTACATGGTCGGCTAGTGGCTGATTTTTTTTCTTATTATTTCCTTTTTATAAAATTCTAGTCTAGCTTATTCAACCTAAAAAAAAGACTTTTTGTAACATCATGGCCAATACGTAATTTAATAGAAAACACATTAAATATAGCACTTTTTTAATTTTCTCATTTAAGTTTTTATTGTAAAACAGAGACTAGAACATCTGCTTCATTAGAGGCAAAACTACTTGTTTATAATTTATGAAAATTTATTTTTTTAAAGTTTACATTAAATATTTGTTGAAATACAATGTGACTATTTTATTTTTTATTAATTGTTTAGGGCTAGATTACAAGCGATGTTAGAGTCATATGTAAAGTGAAATTTTCCACAATTACCTGCATAATTTTTATAGCATACTCCCCACAACTTTTCATTTAAAAACTCGTAAAAGTATGTAAAAAATTACCATAAATATGCTACAAAATAAATAAAGTGCAAGTGTTTTAATATTATGCAGTTTATGTATCATAACGTTGCTTTTAAGATTAAAAATGTTGGGAATTTCTTAATGTATGTTATTGAAATGTCACTTTACGCATGTGTAATCTAGCCGTTAGAGCCTGTTTCTGGTTGTCTATACCATAGTAAATGCGAAGGGAAAGCACCATTTCAAATGTCTAATATAATATTTAATTTAACTCGAAAAATACAAACATTTCAAAAAATATTTGGAACGGTATTTTACTTTCGTATTCAACATACAGAAACAGGTCTTTTTTATATTTTCCTTGTCCTTTTTTTATTTTGTTTTTGTGAGTTATTCGTTGTGTTAATGTATATTAAATTGAATATTAATTTTTATATGGAAAATTCGAAATAATGGTTCAAATATGGTAAATATTACATTAAACGAACCAAAATCATATCAACAATTTTAAAAGAAAAGCCGACCAGTTGCTGCATTAATCCATAGGAGAGATAATTTAAAGATTTTCTACATACATACATTTTTAATTACGAAAATAAATAAAAATTATGTTCAACAATATAGATTTTGTATTTTATTTATGCAAAAAATATATTAACAATGTATTTTTAAGACTGGTAATCAATGGTATACCAATTTTATAATCTACTTCAAATTGGGTAAACGTACTCAAATATTATGAAATGAGGAATAAATCAATCCATTTAATATACTGCCAGAAACATTGTTGCGAGATTTTCGGCATTAAACTAAAAAAACGAAAAAGTGTCATTATTGTTGACTACATGAAAATGGTTGTTCTATTCCAGAACTGTCAAAATGTAAAACGTTTTACTACGATAGCCGATATTTCCTTTATGATATCGAATAAAGTTATAAAACTAGTAGATTCTTCAAGGTTCTGGCGCGGAACAGGTGATGCATACATCGAAATATAATTAATTCTAGTCAATGTACGAAAAGTTAGACTCTATAGCAAAGTGTGGGTGGGATATGATAGTTTATATATAAAAAGAGTCAAAAACAAGTAAAAAGACCGGCCGGGCGAACTTTCAATACCCTCCACCATTAGGTAAAGAAAGCATTTTTATACAGAAGTATCTGGGTTCAAACGTGTTTCACTTTAAACAACAAACATCAGCACAATCGGTAGGAGAATGTGGCCATACCAAAACGAGAGCCTATATAGAGAACTTTATACTACAAATATTTTTTAATAATTTCACGGGTAAATGAGGCTAGAATTATCAAGCTACCGAATATCGGTCTATATATCAAATAGAACCCATTATGAAGCACAAAAAACAAATTTCACACAAATCTATTAGAAAATGTGGCTTAAATTGTCAAAAAACCGAATCGTTATATGTGCGCTATAGGAAAACGTGGACCTATATATTCCGCCATCGAAATTAAAACTAGAACCCACCACGAACTACAAACACCAATTTTTAGACAAATCTGTGGAAAACTGTGGCTAAAACCATACAAAATACCGAATATCGGGAGGTACCCTTATATGGGGGCTATACGAAAACGTGGACCTATATATACAGTGTCTTGCCACCGCAGCTGAAACTACAAATACCAATTTTTAGACGAATCCGTGGAAAAATACGGCTAAAACCATCAAATACCGAATATCGGAAGGTACTATTTTATAGGGACTATACGAAAAGTGGACCTATTTATACAATTTTTTCTAAAAATATCAATTTTTATACAAATTCGTACAAAACACCAAATATCGGAAGCTACCGTTATAAGGGGACTATCCCAAAACGTGGACCGATATATCTCATTTTCAATACCAACCATCCTAGACACAATACAAATACTGTGTCAAATTTTAAACTCTACGTCAAACAATGTGGCCTGTATCGTGATTTCAACAGACTGACATCGTTAAATCGACTTAGAATTTTATGCTGATAAAGACGAATATCTTAGAGGTGACGAATATTTAGATGTGTTAAAACGGAATGACAAATTTATTATATTCTCCTTCCTTTCGGCTGAAACTAGAATCTTGAACTAGGTAGGAGGCTTTCAGCAAGCGTATGAAAGGTACTAAATGGTAGTAAATTTGGTATTGGGTGAAGGGATAGAGCTGAAATCACGAAATTTAATATTGAGGTCTATTGGTACCTCCTGATATTCGGTATTTTGATGATTTTAGCGACATTATTTACGGGAATTGTCTCAGATTTGGTACTTGAAGTACGCAATAGATACTACAGCATAAAACAGAACATGGACCATGTAGGTCAACGTCTTCGTATAACCCCCATATAACGGTACCACCCGATATTCTGTAATTTGATGATTTTAGCGACATTATTTACCGGAATTCTTTTAATTTCGTATTTGAAGTTCGTAATGGATACTACATCCTAAGACAGAAACTGAGCCATGTAGGTCCACGTCTTCGTATAGCCCCCATATAACGGTACCCCCCTCCCCGATATTCGGTATTTGATGATTTTAGCTACATTATTTACCGGATTTGTTTCAAAATTGGTTTTTAAAGTTCGTAATAGATGCTACGGCTTAACACAGAAAATGGACCATGTAGGTCCACGTCTTCGTATAGCCCCCATATGACGGTACCTCCTGATATTCGGTAATTTGATGATTTTAGCGACATTATTTACCTGAATTGTTTCAAATTAGTATTTAAAGTTCATCAAAATACCGAATATCGGGAGATACCGTTATATGGGGCTATACGAAAACGAGGAGCGATATGACCCATTTACGAACTTAACCTGCCTACTGGCAAAATGCAAATGTGTGCCAAATGTTCGCCTTTTATCACGATTCGTTCGAAAGATAGTTAAATCGTCTTAGAATTTTACGCTGATACAGAATATATACATTGTATGGTCTATCATGAATATATAATATCGAGGAGTTACAAGCGGAATAAGAATGCTAATATACCCTCCAATGGTAAAGGGTAAAAAAAGTCTAAAGATAAGAATACATAAAACGTTTTTTTGGCTGATGGGTCGGATTTTGACGCATCGGATAGAGCTAGTCGAAAGAGTTTTATGTATTTTCACCTTAACACAAACTCTTGGAACGAATCTAAAATTTTAGGGTGGACTTTGCTTTGACATAGTAGTGGGCACTTGATAGAACTAAGTCAACCTCCACGAAGTAGCCAGCCGATGGCTTAAGTCACTCAAAAAAAGCGTTTTATGTATTCTCACTTTAAGTGTGCCTGACTTCTGCATTAGGGCTATTAACCAGTTTTGCCCTGTAAAGTTTAAGCAGTTTGGATCATCTTTTAGAAATAAAATCAAGTCATTCCATTAATTTTTAGCGCTATTTAACTTATTTTAAAAAATGAGGAAAAATATCATATAAAAGAAAACCACTTCTTGCATATAATTTTGAATGAAAGCGGGCATAGCCTCAGGGCCGTATTTCTGTAGTTGAACGAAGTTGTTGCACCTCCTTATTGTTTATTGGGATTTATTTGATAGAATGGCAATTGAAATCTACTAGGTTTACAAAATCCGGTAATCTCATACTATTAATCCTTTTATAATTCAAAAGCTGAAAGACCCGACCTATACTTTTACTTCACCTAAACAACGGATTGTTATCAGATGAATGACAATGACATGTTATGAGATGTTATCAGATGAATAATTCTAAAAAATGCTCAACATATGATGACTTTAAATTCTTAATTATATCATGACCATATTCTTTTATAATTTTATTTTTTCGAAATTGTTGTCTTTCAGTATTTTTGAAACCGAAATTATTAAATCCATTGACTGAAAGCAGCATCATTTTTTCTTCTCATTTCTTCTTTACAGGCATTAAAAGCGACGCCGTTATTTTATGAAACGCTGCGCCAATGATGTTTTCAGTAGAAGAACAAATGTAACGGCGCTGACCGGCAACGGCTGCGGCTCTATTGTGTGGTGCAGGTGTTGTGTTTTTGTCCATCGTGCTAACTAGCCAACCAACAACGTTTAACGTTCGCTCGCTTTAGTTAGTGTCGTGTGTGTTTAGATTAGTGTGTGTTCGTATCACTCGTTCTTCGTTCGTTCCATTCACGTTTTTTTGAAAGTTGTTTATTGGGTTTTTGTGTTGTAAAACAAAGCGGGTTGTGTATTTGTTGTTACTGAAGTTGTTAACAAAAAATCGAAAAAGAAGAATAATAAGCAATATCAATAAAAATAATATTAAAATATACGGCAAAATAAAATTTGAAAATAATTATAAATTATTATTGTCCATATTGTAATATAAAAAAATAACAAACGAATGTCATTGTTTTGTTGTAATTAAGTTCAAAATAAGATAAGGCCTTAATAATCGAAAAAGAATTGGCCAAAAAGAAAGCCAAATAAAAAAAGAGAAAGAGTGAGAGAGAGAAAAAAGAGAAGAAAAAGCCTAAAAATTGTGTTATTTTGTGAGTGATCTAAAATTTATGGATCGTATTGCCTGCTGGCCGGTTTCCCCCCGCAATTCTTCTTGTTGTTGTTGTTCCCCAGCAAATAAAGTGTGTGTATATTGTTGTTATTGTTTGGTTGGGGCATCACCAATGCATTTCGCATTTCTCGTTAACCAAAATAAATTGTAAAAAGACAACAACAGCAGCAGCTTCGAAATAAAAAAAAGAAAAAGGTGTGCAAAAAATGTTTATTTTCGTATCTGTATAACACGAAATTTGAAATTTCAATTGTGTGAAAGGAAACTTTTTTTTGAAGTAGGTACCTACCTACCATCACAACGTCGTCCAACACACAATCCAGTAATAAATTATTTCTTAAATTTAATTCAATTAAGAAAAAGAAACATAACAACAACAACGAAATACAAAATTGTCTTAAATCAGCCAAGTTTGTTCAATGTTTGTTGGAGTCTGAAAATCAGCCAAGCATGAATTAAAACCGAAAAAAGAGTTGCTTTGCAGTTTAACTTCTTTGTGGTATTTTGTTAATCTTGTCTGCAAAAGGAGTGAATAAGAAGAGAAAAAAAAGAAGTAATACTAGTAAGAAAACCAAATATAATAATAACAAAAAAGCTATACCCAGTCGCAACGGGCGAAAGTTTATTTTCGTCTATGATTAACTAACTGTGTGTGCGTGTGTGTAGGTAGATTGTAGTTTGAAATGATCATTTTTTTTTTGTTATTCTTATTGCACTAAACATGCACAATGGGATAATTTTACATCATGGTGTTTGAATTTTAAACATTTTTGCTTATTGAAGATCGCACGTAAGGTATAAATGTTAATAATCATTTAAACATTTATCCCAGAAAAGAAATAACGATGGGGAGTTGAAGATTCAAATACAACGGCTTGAATAAAAAGCCTTATAAGTTCTTGATCAATTCGCCCAAATTTGGGCGCTAATCGGCACGAACTAAAATATATCGATACCATTTTTTGTCGTTATAATATGACTTCAAAGTTTACTTGACCATCAATTTTTATTAATTGGGCGCCAGAAAAAGTACGATGATCAGCTGATGCTCTAAACGAAATTTCTAGAATCAAAAACCTTATTATCCTTGGCCACTTACAGCAAATTGAGTTGCTGACTGAAACGAACTACTACTTCAATGGCTTTCTTTGCATTGGAAAAATATTAAAATGTATTTTTTTCTTATTTGGGCGCCAACTTGGTAGTGTATCCGCAAATTGAGTTGCTAATCGGCACGAACTAAAATATATCGATAAAATTTTTGTCGTTATAATATGACTTCAGAGTTTATTTGGTCATCTATGCATTAATTCATTTTTATTATTTGGGCGCCAGACAAAGGACGATTATCAGCTGGCGGTCTAAATAAAATTCCTAAAATAAAAAGCCTTATTATCCTTGACGACTAACAGGATATCGAGGTGCTGACCGAAACGAACTATTTGTTTTTGCCAAAATATTAAAAATGCTATTTTTTGGCCAATTCGGCAGTGTAACCGCGTATGGAAGTTCTAATTGGCAGGAACTTAACTATATCGATACATTGAAAGTTTTTGTCGTTATAATATGACTTCAAAGTTTACTTTGAATATATGGTCATCAATGCATTATTATTTAGGCGCCAGAAACGTACGACGATCAGCTGATGTTCTAAATAAAATTCCTAGAATAAAAAGCCTTATAATCCTTGGCCACTAAGAGCAAATCGAGTTGCTGACCGACTATTGTTTCAATTGATTTTTGGAAAAATATTAAAAATATATTATTTTCTTATTTGGGCGCCAATTCGTCAGAGTGACAGCACATCGAGGTGCTAATAGCACGATAACTCTCGAAGGGAGTATCCGATTTGATCCAAACTTGGATATTTTTATCAAACTTAGAACGAGTCCGGACATGGGTAAAATCGGTGCACCTCTTCTGGTGCCACTCCCACAAAAGGCCGAAATTCTCATAGAACATGCAAAATTTTCATACTTTGCAAATAAAATATTGCAAATATTTGTATCAGTGAAAGAACATATGTGGAAATGGACAATATCGGCCCACTTCAACAAGAACCTCGCCACAAAGGGTCAACATTTTTAATACTCAACCCTTTTATAATACGTGGAAGAAGCTTGCGATTGTCTTCAAATTACGCATATCACAAATTTTTTTTTAGCCTAAGGTCTGTTGTGAAGATAGAATATATCGGTCCACCTCTTCTGGTACCTCCTCCACAAAGGGTCAGAATTTTGAATATCCATAAAGCTCATAAAACGCGAAATTGGGTTAGGTTAAAGGATGCGTCGTTGTTCTAACAACCACTCCACTCGGTGATCTGCTGGTCCATTGTGTTCATCCTATCTGAAAGAGAATTAAAAGAGAAAAAATAAAAGGAAAAAAAAATAGAGAAGAAAGATAGAGTTAGAAGGCAGGTATAAGAAAATTATCATAGCATAGCTACGCCGCAAATAAGCGTGTTGTCTTTAGCCATTTCAATCTTCGGGCTAATTGAAGCATAGCTGCTGGTTCACATTCAGAGAAGGAGGACAAGTCGGGCAGAATTTGCTTACCCAGTAGTCTTTGTCGGACTCCAAAGAGAGTTGGACAGAGGCAGAGTAAGTGTTCTACCTTCTCATTTTCCTTCTCGTCCTCCAATTTGAATTCATGGCCCTTGTGTTACATTGTCCAGTAGTTAAACCCAGATATCGCCAATGAGACGAGCGACATTGATCTTCTCTCTGAGATTACTGGTCATATTTTTTTTGAGACATTACATCCCCTTCCAGTTAGCCAGTTCTGATTGAATCTCCCAAGGTAGTGCTTGTGCAATACTTGGAAGAAGTGGCATAATGGAGGCTTCGCTGAGCTGCCGATCTGATTGAATCTCCCAAGGTAGCGCTTGTGCAATACTTGGAAGAAGTGGCATAAAGGAGGCTTCGCTGCCGATCTCCAAATCTACTGATTCAGATCCGCGTCTGGCCAATTCATCTGCTGATTCATTCGTTGTTTGCCAACGAGTTAAATCTTTCCAGAGCATTTCTGCATTCCAGAACAGCCATCGATTTGATTGTAAAAGAATTGAGAGACTTCAAGGCCGCCTGACTATCGACGCATATAGTCACCGGTCTATTCAACTCATTGATTCTTTTTTTCAGCAGTTCCATGGCTTTCCTGATAGCAAAGATGTCTGCCTGGATCTCCGGATCTTAAGGGATCTCCGGATATTCAAATATTCACAGAAGACCATCGGTATAGACCGCTATGCCGTTAAAAGGTAGTGTGTTCCGAGTCCAGGTGTCCCTGTTTGGCATATGGATGCCAGTGATTCGAAACTTTACCTAGGTGTTATGAAATAACTGGTTATAGCCCGACCTCTTTGGACTTTATCAATGCTTTTTTGAAGGTAGTTTTACCTAGAGATTGCTACCATACTATCCCTCCATAAGTTAGAATTTGTCGAAATTAACATCCGATTCCATTCATGTCAAAATTTCCATCAACACAAGATCTGTTATAATGATGATAGATACCAGACCATTCCTTCTGGTACTTCACCCACAAAGTGTTAAAATTTTGAATAAACAAATCGATTATAAAATCCGAAATAAACATCCGGTTCATATTTCATACATACCGTTATTTCTACTAACACAAGTTCTTCTGTGAAGATGGGATATATCGGTTCTTTTCTTCGGATATCTCCCCCACAAAGGATCAAAATTTTGAATATCCATGGAGCTCATAAAACTCGAAATTAACATCCGATTCCATTCAGACTTGGCACATCTCAATATTTCCATCAACACAAGATCCCAACGCCCAAAGAAAGCGAAATAAGCATCAAAGTCTCTTCAAATTTCACATATACAAACGTTTTTGCTAACACAAGATCTGTTGTAAAGATGATATATATCTATGAACCCCTTCTGGCACCTCTCCACAAAGGGTCACAATTTTCAATACTTCCATCTGCCATAACTTGCGAAACAAGTCAGCGATCCTTTACAACTTGCCATATCTAAATATTTCTCTCAACCAGAAACCTGATGAATATGGAATTTATGATTTCGGATAAAATTGGATATTTTTAAAATAGTTTTTTTTTTTTTTTTGAAGTAAATCCTTAAGAATTAAAACGTCAGAATACAAAGCTGAAAAAAAAAACTTCAAACAAAACGTCAGGACTTGCAACTACCTTGCAATATTTATACAATGAGCACAGAGTTACATTTTCTTCCTACTTCCTTCAACGATTTTTATAAAATTTTTATTTATTTGTATTAGAATTATGCCCACATGAATTTAACTGTCGGCCATTTACTTTGCCTGTTTCGCAATGTCATTTCCTACCCATTGTGCAGCATTGCTTTTGATCTCAGTTGTCTGTTCTTTCTTTTTTTTTCTCACTTTGCCTGTGAATAGTTCGGTCCGGTTTACCTATTGAAACATGTTCTACGGTGGTTGTACAAACAAATGGGCAAATGCCGCCAGCATTTTGTCATTACGATAAAAATATGTACTCCATTCACCGGTCGACCACTTTTACACACATTCTTCCGAAATCATTGTGCCACTTCAATAACCGCACACAACATACCCTCGCTCCATATGATCTCGCTGCAACATCAAACCAACCACTTCTGACTGGAAAAACTCTCTCTCCGAACAACAACAAAACATTCGAAATCTGGGGGAGAACATTACCTAAACACTTTCCAACAAAAACCAAATGAAAATAATAATTACCTATTTGAAATGTTTGTTTGCCTTGCTTATTTTCACGAACGGAGGAAAGGAGGCAGAAGAACATACAACAACATATCATTACATTGCAACAAACATTAGCAGAGGAGGAATGAACAAAAATTCTTATTTGATCATTTTGGAAAAAGGCCATTTGGAATATTTTTCTTGTTTACGACTTCTGTTGTTTGTTGGTGGAATTTTTTTTACCTGATCACCCCCAAAAATACCGGCGACAAAGGTAAACTCGAAATTTGTGTATTTTGTTTACTTTTTAATTTTCGGTTTCTGTGCCCTGTTTGTTTAGGCATTTTGTTGTTGGGAAAGAGAGAAAATGTGAGAACTACTTACTCAAAGAACTCTTTTGGCCGGTATTTTGCTGTGCGAGACGAAGTGCACATTCAGTTGTAAATAAATTGAATTCAAGTGCAGTATGGGTATGATCTTTTTTTGAACTGGGACTT